CCCAACAACGGCGGCATAATAGGCCAGCCGTGCAGGCGGAAACACCAGTCGGCGGCGGCGAAGGCAAGCCGGTCGGTGAAGACGTAGACGCCCAACAACGGCGGCATAATAGGCCAGCCGTGCAGGCGGAAACACCAGTCGGCGGCAGCGAAGGCAAGCCGGTCGGTGAAGACGTAGACGCCCAACAACGGCGGCATAAAGGCCAGCCATGCAGGCGGAAACACCAGTCGGCGGCGGCGAAGGCAAGCCGGTCGGTGAAGACGTAGACGCCCAACAACGGCGGCATAATAGGCCAGCCGTGCAGGCGGAAACACCAGTCGGCGGCGGCGAAGGCAAGCCGGTCGGTGAAGACGTAGACGCCCAACAACGGCGGCATAATAGGCCAGCCGTGCAGGCGGAAACACCAGTCGGCGGCGGCGAAGGCAAGCCGGTCGGTGAAGACGTAGACGCCCAACAACGGCGGCATAATAGGCCAGCCGTGCAGGCGGAAACACCAGTCGGCGGCAGCGAAGGCAAGCCGGTCGGTGAAGACGTAGACGCCCAACAACGGCGGCATAAAGGCCAGCCGTGCAGGCGGAAACACTAGTCGGCGGCGGCGAAGGCAAGCCGGTCGGTGAAGACGTAGACGCCCAACAACGGCGGCATAATAGGCCAGCCGTGCAGGCGGAAACACCAGTCGGCGGCGGCGAAGGCAAGCCGGTCGGTGAAGACGTGGACGCCCAACAACAGCGGCATAAAGGCCAGCCGTGCAGGCGGAAACACCAGTCGGCGGCGGCGAAGGCAAGCCGGTCGGTGAAGACGTAGACGCCCAACAACGGCGGCATAAAGGCCAGCCGTGCAGGCGGAAACACCAGTCGGCGGCGGCGAAGGCAAGCCGGTCGGTGAAGACGTAGACGCCCAACAACGGCGGCATAATAGGCCAGCCGTGCAGGCGGAAACACCAGTCGGCGGCGGCGAAGGCAAGCCGGTCGGTGAAGACGTAGACGCCCAACAACGGCGGCATAATAGGCCAGCCGTGCAGGCGGAAACACCAGTCGGCGGCGGTCGAGGCGAGCCGGTGGTGATGTTCTGACTGATCCATTCCTAGAGCGTAAGAGATAAGCTTAAAGCCATGAATCCCTTTTATGCATATCTGGATCTGGATCCTGCAGAACAAACATATAGGATGAGTAGTATCTGATATAAATATAATACTCGAGAAAAAATCAGGTATTTTAAAATATTTATAAATATATATTTCTCCTCTTGTCAATTTTGATTTCCCTGAGCAGATGACTCTGTACGTTTAAACACTCTGTCCGACTAGTCATAGCCCCCAAGCATCGGGAGTCGGCCTAGGCATTTCCCAAACATGCATATGAGTGACATGAGTTCGTCATTAATGGAACAAAGTTTCACGGATCAGAATTTACTACTCAGGTACTTTTGCAATTATTAAGAGCAGAAAATAAATTATATTATCTCTATGCTTTTGATTTCTTCCGAGTAATACTTAGCACCTTGCGTTACTCGGTCCATCCAACGAGCCCCCGGGTGCTAGGAATCGGCCCAAAGGCAACCATCCATTGGCAAACCAAACGGAAAGCATAGGAAGATAGAACTCCATAACTCGATAGGTACTTTTGTACTCAGATTATGTCGCAAGCAATCAAGATAAATATTATGAAAATTGTTTAAAAAATACGATATAACATCTATAGCCCCCGACTCACTAGTCAACGGCGAACCAGTTGAGGTAGTGAGGCAAAGGAAAAGGCAAAATATCATATAAAGAATAAAATAAATGATGACTTAGCTTTGTCGTATTCCCTCGATGACAGCAAAAGTAGCCGATGTGGGAATAAAGCAGTCCATCAATGGTGACAAAAACACCAGTCGGCGCCAGCGGAACCAAGCCAGTGGTGTAGATGATGAAGCCCATTAACAGCGGCGGAGTGACCAATCAACCATATAGGCGAAGACACCAGTCGGCGGCGACGGAGGCAGGCCGGCGGTGAAGTCGTAGACGCCCAACAGCGGCGGCATAATAGGCCAGCCGTGTAGGCAGAGACACCAGTCGGCGGCGGCGAAGGCCAGCCGGTCGGCGAAGACGTGGACGCCCATGAACGGTGGTGTGACCAACCAACCGTATAGGCGAGGACACCAGTCGGCGGCGACGGAGGCAAGCCGGCGGTGAAGTCGTAGACGCCCAACAGCGGCGGCATAATAGGACAGCCGTGTAGGCGGAGGCACCACTCGGCGGCGACGGAGGCAGGCCGGCGGTGAAGTCGTAGACGCCCAACAGCGGCGGCATAATAGGCCAGCCGTGTAGGCGGAGGCACCACTCGGCGGCGACGGAGGCAGGCCGGCGGTGAAGTCGTAGACGCCCAACAGCGGCGGCATAATAGGCCAGCCGTGTAGGCGGAGGCACCACTCGGCGGCGACGGAGGCAGGCCGGCGGTGAAGTCGTAGACGCCCAACAGCGGCGGCTTAATAGGCCAGCCGTGTAGGCGGAGGCACCACTCGGCGGCGACGGAGGCAGGCCGGCGGTGAAGTCGTAGACGCCCAACAGCGGCGGCATAATAGGCCAGCCGTGTAGGCGGAGGCACCACTCGGCGGCGACGGAGGCAGGCCGGCGGTGAAGTCGTAGACGCCCAACAGCGGCGGCATAATAGGCCAGCTGTGTAGGCGGAGGCACCACTCGGCGGCGACGGAGGCAGGCCGGCGGTGAAGTCGTAGACGCCCAACAGCGGCGGCATAATAGGCCAGCCGTGTAGGCAGAGGCACCACTCGGCGGCGACGGAGGCAGGCCGGCGGTGAAGTCGTAGACGCCCAACAGCGGCGGCTTAATAGGCCAGCCGTGTAGGCGGAGGCACCACTCGGCGGCGACGGAGGCAGGCCGGCGGTGAAGTCGTAGACGCCCAACAGCGGCGGCATAATAGGCCAGCCGTGTAGGCGGAGGCACCACTCGGCGGCGATGGAGGCAGGCCGGCGGTGAAGTCGTAGACGCCCAACAGCGGCGGCTTAATAGGCCAGCCGTGCAGACGGAAACACCAGTCGGCAAGAGTAGTGCCGCGGCGTTACATGCAAACAGCAGAAAATACCAAGAGAGATTAATCTGACATTTAGAGATCAATCTAATAAACAACAATAAGTTGAAAAGGAAAAAATCCTGTGCCAATCTAGCAGCACGTCCATCTGCATGGAAGGGAAGAGAGGAGCACTCGGACACGCCAAGAGGCACCCGAGTGGCCGAGTAGGCGACGATGGCGGCCGTGTCGTGATCTCAACCAGCATGTGAAAAACAACAAAAATTGCCAGGAAATCAAAACGGCCGGCGATTAGAGATTAATTAATAATCAATCTAATAGAAATTAAATTGGAACAGCCAACCCAAATTGTACGGCGTGGCATGCATCGTTAATGATGGCCAGTGATACGTCGTGCGCGTCGATCAGCTTGGTTCACAATGCCGCAATCAGCAATAGCCGGGCGGAACTCATCATCAGCCCTGCTACCTCGGAGAGTCGGCGGCATGTAGATGACCAACTGGGGCAGCGATAAAGCCTAATGGCAACAGCTCGGAGGCCACCAACTACGGAGACGGTGAAGCCGGTCGGCGCTGACGGATATAGCTAGCCGGCAGTAGATACGGCCGGCGGTGTACATGCAAGATAGATAGCAACAAAATAATTGCTGGTTAGACTCAACTAGTAAACAGATTAACTCTGTAGATGTAATGTGCATGTTGGTTGGATCGTGCATGCATGTTGATCAGTTGAGTCAACTCATGCAGTGTTTTCTCCTGGTAAGCTGTGACCACCGATAGCCACCACATGTCCGCCGGCAAAGCACGAAGAAAGTCTCGATGCGTGAGGGCGTCGTCGACAGCTTCGGCTTGATCTCCGCCGACCGACACAAGATCGACACAAGAAAATATACCAGAAGATTGATCTATGATAGAAAAAAAATTAATCTAATAAAAAATAGATTGGAACGACAAACCCGGTTCAAAGTTCGAGCCATCGAACTCGGTGAGATTGATCTCGCCGTTTCTTCTGAAGTGGATTCCATCTCACTTTTCGACGGGTAATTCGACGCAGCCCCTACCTGGCGCGCCAACTGTCGAAACATGATTTCGGCAATAATAAAAGGGGGTAGCGCACGAGACCTAAAAGTGGATGGATGCAGAGACAAAGGATTTAGACAGGTTCAGGCCCTCTCAATGAGAGGTAATACCCTACTCCTGTTTGGGGATTTGAATCCGCCGGGTGTAGTATAGATCTGACGATCAGGTTGTGTCCTGCCCCTAGAGGGGCTCCCTGCCCTCCTTATATAGGTTGGGGGGCAGGGTTACAAGATAGAAACCTTAACCAATACGGTATCGGTTTCCTAAATCTACTTTATAATCTTATCAAACCAGGACTTTAGGCCGTTCCATAATATATAAGGAAACATAACACCCAAGTCATGATCTGTTACATATTACATAGATATAAGTTATCCCCTATAACTAGTCGGATAACCATGCCGTGTGGGTATGGGGTACCCATAATCTCCACACACACAACCGAGTTAGCGACTCTAGCGAAATCGCGCCACCACAGTCATGCCGCAACCGCCAGCAATCAGGCATCACCCTCGTGAGCGGACATGCTCGGAGAGGCTTGCCAGCTTGGTTGGGACTTGGGAGAAAAAGGAGAAAAGAAAGGAAGGGAGAAGAAGAGTGAGAGGTGACACATGGGTCCTACAGTAGGTCAGAAGCCCATGATGACTCGAGCGAAATCTGACCATGATCAAATCTACCATGTCAGCACAAACCATTCCCCAAATCACCCAAGGATTCGATTTGCACCAATTTTTGAAATTGGAGGATGCAATATACCCGGTTTTATGGTTAAGGGACTCGAGGAAGGAAGGGTCACCGGTTAGAAATCTGGCAAAAAAATAACAAAGAAAAAAAAAGGAGGAAAAATCGATGGTATGTCGCATGCAGCCATGCAGGGGGCAGCTGGATCGCCTGAACATTACTCCAATCCAACTCCAATAGAAAACTTATAAGCTCCTGGCAGAGCATGATTCCGGTAAGTTTTTGCTTCTACCTCATAAAACCTGCATAAGAACATGTATTTCTTTCTGGATTATTTCCGTGAAAAGGTTAAAGCAACAATTCTTTATTTTCTAAGGACGTTGCCCAACGATTTATACTCTACAACTTATGAATTGTTTTCATGTCGATGGCCTCCTCCAGAGTCCCTTGCTCAACATGATCCCACCATCTCATGAGGAAGTTGTCAACAACCAGCCTAAACCAAGGGGACAGCTTAATGCCGCCTTCACCAGCATCTGCCTTCTTGAGCAACTCCTTCAGCTCATCACGATTCACGTACTTGACGTCGGCCACTTCTTCAGGATTCGGGCTGAGCTCCACATCACGAACCATGAATAGGAGGTAGTCCACTGAAATGGCGAAAGATGGTTATATTCTAAAAATTTCAAAAGACAGCAATTGAAAATACACAAGAGGCAAGTGATAGCTGGACGATAAGTATGAAGGCTGAAATGTATCAGGTAGAGGGCAGAGGGCAAATATTTACGTTCATGTTCGCCCCATTTTCCATCAGATGGAGCCTTGTAAAGCATCCTCCCAAGAGGAATGAATTGGTCAACAGGTAGTTCTTCAGCTTGTATTCCCAGTTCATCGAATAGCTTCCGCTGTGCTGCATTTCTGACCCCTGAAATACAACGTAGCAACTTGTATTATTTAGTAAGGTGGAGAGCAGCATAGACAGTGCAAAGATAGGTATGGCTTTGTTTTTCACAGTTCTCATTTCAGGGCAGGTAGATAGATGTACCTAGGCTTTTATCTTCAATGAGCTCGGACTCGCGGTATAGAGGGTGGCTACAGCAAGTGTTTGTCCAGACAAGTGGAAATGTCACTTTTGTAGCAGACCTTTGCTGGAAAGGATCAAGACTATAATATTAAAAGAAAATCTATGACAGAACAAGTTAATACTTCTATTTATTTGATAAGCTAAGTGTAGAAAATAATAGATGAAATGGCAAAGTCCAGAAAAAATGGTAAGTACGATGACATCCACTACAAGCAAAAGTGGTTATCAATGCTCTCCTGTACATTTGAGCTCTGCTACTATGAATTGATTCAGGACCAAGTATAATCTCTTGTTAATGAAGTATCCATAGCAATTGTTGCATAAGTATGCAAGAAATCGCATGCACGGTTTTTTAAAATAAATACCAATGAAATCGCATACACAGTTTTTCAAATACTTTCAGAGAGTTTCTTCAATATGATCCCTGTGTTGTGAGAAAAGGATAAACTTGGGTTCCACCAGATAAGCATGATTTGGAGTTGGACTAATTGAAATTACTCCTATGTTTGTTTGAAGTTGAACTCAAGCTTTAGCAACCTATGAATGAGCTTAGAATTTAATGCACGCGCTCGAAGATATTGCATTTCCATCAGCCTAGGCACTCAAGGCTAGCTTCATCATGATTCATGAACCCATCTAAGCAGCAGTATTTAGTTCTGAGCTTGACAAACCCATCTTGGTTGAGTTATGAGTTATACCAACCAAAAGTCAGAAAATAAGCCAAGTATTTGATTTCCTAAGCAACATCGGCTTGTTCCAAACCTTATAGCATATTGTATATTCTATTCTATTGGGAATATAACAATGTCAACCATAATATGGTCCATGATAAACAGCCAAAAATATATTGCATTGTAACTACATTAAATGCTGTTACAATACCTGAAGTAACAATTCATATTTGGAGTTGAAAAGAAAAACACTGAACGCTCTGTGGAGGACATGACCAGAATTTATCTTTTCCATGAGATGGCCTGAAAGTTATGAGGACGTGACTAAAAAATTAGTCCAATCAAGCTTAACAAAGTTTTGCATTACTTTGCTACTCTTCCTATTGCAAATGCCTTAAAGTTCAGCCTAAAGATTATCTTGCCCAGAAAATTGGGTTGAATCCAAAACTCAAAATCCTACATTTCCTATTGCAACTGCTCTAACAGTGATACTGTATTAAACAAATTTACAATTTTATTTGCAGTACCTCATCAGTCATCAATAACAATTTAGCAAAATATCAAGCGTCCTGTGGTAATGATAAAAGAAAGAGTGAACTTCAAAACTAGTCTAGACAATAGTTTGTAATTACACTATTTCATTAGCCACCAATTTGATCCAGTCATGATTCCATTAAACACTGTGCTATTTCTCTACTTTTATCTGGTATATCATGCATTAATGAAGACAAAACCAAAGTAATGCATCTTGCACTTGACACAAATTCTACACAACATCAGATGCATATGAGGCCAATTTCTATCAGATCAATTGAAGCAACCAAATACATTTGTATCGAGACTGTAACAACCAGCAGCAATTTTACATGCGTCCAATCTAGAAATACAGCAACCACACAAAAATGAAGGGAAAGGTCAACTCATAGAGGCGCACAGTTATACTTGGAATCATGGCCAATGACGTTGTCCTGTTCGTCCACTAAAATACACCTGCAGGGTAAAAACGGATTGCTCAGTATTGTTGTCTAAGAAATGAAATGTGATTTTCTCAGGAGCTATTTCCAGCTCATCTTCCACCCCACGGCACAAAGCCAAATCTGATAAATTACTAAGCTAAAACAGCACCAACAATCAAGGTAGACACTATATGGCAGTTTAGCATATGGATCATGATACATCCAATCCTGGCAAGAAACAGTCCTGACATCCACTAATTCAACCGTATTGCAATCGACTCTGCCACGCCAGCATCCTAATGACCAAACCCTAGGCTAGGGTGCTAACCAATTCGACAGCTAAGTCAACGACCCAACGAGCACGCCGCCACAATCTCCACAACAACCCAAAAGTTGGCGAGGCGGCGGTGGGTGGCGGCCACTTACTCGTCCTCGAACATGAGCCGCTGCTGGACGGCGTCCATCCCGGCGTCGGCGGCTTCCGCGGTGCCGGCCTTCCCCATCACCGCGGCGGTGGCGGCGAAGGAGGACGAGGACGACGACAGGCCGCGGAGGGCGAGGCCCCGCCCAAACGGGGACCGAGGGCGGGCGGAGGAGCGCGCGACGCCGAGGCCGAGGGACGCGGAGGCGGTCGAGAGCAGCGCGAGGGAGCGCGCCGCCGCCGCCATCGGAGGGGAGGGAGCGGGAGCTCGGGTGCGCGCGCGCGCGGCGGGCGGCGGGCGGCGACGGGCTGGATGGATTTGGGCGAGAAAGTTTGTTACTGTGACGTTTAGCGTTAGTGAAGGCTTTAATTTGGCGTGGCCGCCTCGCCCGTACTCCCTCCGTTCCGTCCCACGAAAATTTCGTGATCATTTCTAGCGTCCCAATGTAAAATTAGTAAAGGGTAAAAATAATCAAAGCAAAATTAGTAATGGTGATAGATAATTAAGTATTTAGGGTCTATTTAGATCCTTTAAAATAGCAAAAGTTTTGCTATTTTGGAGCATTTTTTGTCATTTTAGATCTAAACACTAGTAATAAAAGTTAGTAATTTGACATTTGGCATTTGCTAGTCCATAGTAGCAAATTTTGCCAAAAAGTGCTCCGGGACCACACCCTCTTTCTTTCTCTCTCTTTAGTGCTAAAATGGTAAAACTTTAAGATGCATATAAACACTAACTAGTACTTTTGCAATGCTAAGGGCCCCTTTGAATCGCAGGGTTGAAAAAGTGGAGGGATAGGAAAAACACATGATTCTGACCAGAATTGAAGTGTAAAACAGAGAATTACAAAACACAGAAAAAATATAGGAATGGTCGTTTGATTGGAGCGCAGGAAAAACGTAGGAATCAGATGAGAGAGATAGACTCAGAGGAAATTTTCCAAGAGGTTGAAGCTCCTGCTAAATTTCCTCCAAAATCCACATGCAATGTATCATTCCATAGGAATTTTATAGGATTTGGAAAGCTTCAATCCTTTAAATCAAAGGGCCAAATATGAAAATTTTCTACAGGATTTGAATCCTATGAAATTTCTATATAAATCATTTGATTCAAAGGGGCCCTAAATCTTTTGCCACCAAAACTTTTGCTATTTACCATTTCAAATGAATCTAAACATGCCTTTAAAAGATAAAACTTATCGCTTTATGTGCTGAGTAGGTGGACGATATAAGTTGGTTTTTTAAATAAAATTTAAACTAAAGAAGTTGAATTTGTTTGGACGTCTAGGGTGTACGATGGATGGGATGCGCCCGAGTCAAACAAAGAGGTGATTTTTCAAGCCCTCGTGTTTTCGGCGTGGTTTTAGTTTGGTGCAACACGTGCACACGTGATGCTTTCTAGTGGACTTCGCTTTTTTTTTGTTGTGTGTGAAAAAATGTGGAATTACGGGGCAGTTTGATTTTAATGCTGTTTTTTTTTCTATTGACGGCTTGGTAATGCAATGCAATTGTGTTTTCATTTGGATTTGTTAAAATAGCCACTTGAATAAAGTTTCGTAAGCAAATCGTACGATGCATAACTACCTTACGAAAATTTTGCTAACAGCCCACACATTTACCTTATGTTTTTTTCTTTTGCCGAATTTACCGTGTGTAACCTAAGTTTATTTTTTTTAACGACTACGATGTTCATATTGATATAGCATAATTTTTTAATATTACAACCCTGAAGGTCGTAACCAGAAAAAAAAAAGAATATCATCACCCACACACCGACAACACTAACACACAACACACAGACCCAGGATAAGACTAGCACCGAACCGGCCGCTGCTAGGCAACAAAGGAATTATAGCCGAGATCACCAAAACTCAACTCTTACAACCGACACTCTTAGAACCAACACGAAACCCTGCTAGGCAACCGACATCATGTGGCCAACTTGTATTAGCTAAGGCACCGACATAGGAGGACATGAATCTAGAGTGAGTTTGCACCAGCTGTTTAGGAGGCTTTGGCAAGGGGGCTGCTAAGACGATGTCTCCAGGGAGAGAAGCGACAAAAGCACCACTACTGCCATCCGTCAAGGTCTCAAAAAGAATCGATATTGGGCTTTCACCCGGCAACCCCACTAGAGGGGATGAGATGGCATGACAACGACCTCAGGAGTGGGAGTAATGCTCAAACACCATCATTGTCGGTCTGGTCCAAGGCCAGGCTGGGTTTTCACTCGCCGTCTGCCTATCCACAGCTGACGTACCATTGCTCCATCGCCATCTAAACCCCCGCCGACATGTGGGCACCACAGCACCGGCGCCCCTCGCCGACCAGCCTTGGTGTGCCGCCACCAGCCACAACCGTCATGCCGTTGCGAGCCTCCACCGAACCGCACCATCGTTGCCGCCGCGAGCTTGGGTTGTGCCGCACCAGCATGCGCCTCCTGCCACCGCCAAGCTCAGGTCGCATTGCCGCCGCGAGCTCGCCCTCTCCCCATCTGGCCACCAGGGCGGGGGATGCGACGCGAGGGCGTCTGTGCACTTTTTTCTGAATGACCTATATAACCTAAGTTTATTAATATAAGACGTTAACCAACCATTACTATAAACCGACCATATCTAGTACTACCTCCATCCCATAACATAAATGATCTTGCCTATGTAGTTCAAAATATTAGGGATTTTATATCATGGAATGGAGACAGTCCATTCGTCGTAAGTTCATCTTTTAGTTAATCATCGTATTATAGTTTGTGAAAGTAGGAAATGGAATTGAAATTTGATAAAGTATGGGTATTTTAGCATTTTTGTTTTTATTGGTACATGTGGGATAGGTGAAAAATATTTTTTTTTGGAACGGAGGAAATACTTTTCTTTAAAAAAAAACCTTTCACCTAAAAAACTACAAAATCCGCGGCTTACGGTCTTATTTTGATGGATCACAATTCTGGCCCATTAATACGGACAAGCCGGTATTTCGAACAAAATTTCCTGCCCATCTATTTAAATGGGCCGCGGTTGTGGTCTATCTAAACAAGGTCTGAGATTACTAGAGTGAAATGGATGGCAATCTGAGTGAAGGGTGAAAAATTCCGTGAAGACAACCTTGGGTAATCACTCTCAATCTGTCTTCCTCTCCTCTACCAGTATGTCCCATCGAATGCAGGTTACAGTTGATTGAATAGTGCTTCCATACATTTCACTATTTCAGTCGAAGTTCCGCAAAGTCTCATTTTTAGAACAAAAGAATTCTGAAAGATTCTCAAAGGAACTGAACGAAATCCTATAAAAATCTTCCAGTCCAAAAAAAAAAATCCCATCACTCTTTCAATCGGAGTTGCAATGGTTCGCTCAGCACAGTAACTTGTAAGCAAGCAAACAGAACATCAATAGCCAAGACTTTAGCATACGGAACCAGTACGCACTCCTGATACACGCGATAGCATACAAACAAGCATCAAATTTTAAGGTGCGGAGGTAGCTATGGTGATGCAACTGCGATGATGTTCAGGCAAACATATTAGGGTAACGATGGGCAGGGGATACGAGGTACCATTGCCCAGACAGTCTCTACTCCTGTATCGCGTCCTCTTCTTCCTCGTACTCGGCCTCGTCGGCGGTGGCGTCCTGATACTGCTGGTACTCGGAGACGAGGTCGTTCATGTTGCTCTCCGCCTCGGTGAACTCCATCTCGTCCATGCCCTCGCCCGTGTACCAGTGCAAGAACGCCTTCCTCCTGAACATGGCCGTGAACTGCTCGCTGACGCGGCGGAACATCTCCTGGATGGAGGTGGAGTTGCCGACGAACGTAGACGCCATGGAGAGGCCGCGCGGCGGGATGTCACACACGCTCGACTTGACGTTGTTGGGGATCCACTCCACGAAGTAGGACGAGTTCTTGTTCTGCACGTTGATCATCTGCTCGTCCACCTCCTTGGTGCTCATCTTGCCGCGGAACATGGCCGAGGCCGTCAGGTAGCGGCCGTGGCGCGGGTCGGCGGCGCACATCATGTTCTTGGCGTCCCACATCTGCTGGGTGAGCTCAGGGACAGTGAGGGCGCGGTACTGCTGCGAGCCGCGTGAGGTGAGCGGCGCGAAGCCCACCATGAAGAAGTGGAGCCGCGGGAAGGGGATCAGGTTGACGGCGAGCTTGCGGAGGTCGGAGTTCAGCTGCCCTGGGAAGCGCAGGCAGCAGGTGACACCGCTCATGGTGGCACTAATCAAGTGGTTCAGATCACCAACTGTCCGCAAAAATCAAGATTCAGATGAGCAGTAGCACAGCAAGAGCCTAATAAGTAAACATATCAGCTTGGCTTTTAATCATAACAAATGTTACTAGATAAAAGATCACCAAAAGAATACATCAGCAGAAAAAACAAATTAAATAAAGTAGTAGCATGTTTGCTTTTAGAATTTAGAAGTTCAGAACTGAACTGATGTTTTGGTTTCAGTTGACACTACAAGAATTTTCATTACCACACATTTCTAATTAAGGGGATATCATTCTTATGCTGGAAAACATGCCCCAACTCCAAGCTACAGAAGTATTAGCGATATGGAAAATGGTGCAGAAAACAACCCTCAAGTCATACCCAGCATCAGACCTTCTAGTAACATTTAACAGTTCATACTCCCTTTATGTAACACAGTATGTGGAATAAGTGCAGTTATTATTTCAACTACAAGGCAAAACTTATGTACTAAGGGTATGTTTAGTTCACACCAAAATTGGAAGTTTGGTTGAAATTGGAACGATGTAACGGAAAAGTTGGAAGTTTGTGTGTATGAAAGTTTTGATGTGATGGAAAAGTTGGAAGTTTGAAGAAAAAGTTTGGAACTAAACTCGGCCTAAGAGATTTGATGAGATTTAGTTCAGTCAGCTCATTTAAACTGGTGGTTGGTTGGATAAACAAGTCAAGCACACCAACTACATATAATGGTATAAACGAATCCAACACTAATAATCCTTTACAAGGAACCAAACTAAGTCAGCTGGCATCACCTAATTAAGATGATTAAGCTCCTCACAACATTTTGGATATGTGAAGCAGTAGTTTCGCACTAGTGAAACGAAAATGACATACAACGACCTTTTTCATAAAGCACAAAGCACTTCAAGATGACTTAGTGAACTGAAATTTCTCATAATATTGCAGAAATGATAATCTAATTCAGTAAAACTTAGTAGTATAACAAAAGAACAGGTATCAATGGCAGGGATATGCTCACAGCTGGGAGTCGTCAGCTTGAGGGTGCGGAAGCAGATGTCATAGAGCGCCTCGTTGTCGAGCACCATGCACTCGTCGGCGTTCTCCACGAGCTGGTGGACCGAGAGCGTGGCGTTGTAGGGCTCCACCACGGTGTCCGACACCTTGGGCGACGGGAACACGGAGAAGGTGAGCATCATCCTGTCCGGGTACTCCTCCCTGATCTTGGAGATCAGCAGGGTGCCCATGCCGGAGCCCGTGCCGCCGCCCAGCGAGTGGCACACCTGGAAACCTGACCACCGGAAGCAGAGCTCGATCGACCACCGGATTCCATGGAAAAGAATTCAAGAAACGAAACAGATAGTGGGGGTGATGGTATGATGATGATGATACCTTGGAGGCAGTCGCAATTCTCGGCCTCCTTGCGGACGACGTCGAGGACGGAGTCGATGAGCTCGGCGCCCTCGGTGTAGTGGCCCTTGGCCCAGTTGTTGCCGGCGCCGGACTGGCCGAAGACGAAGTTGTCGGGACGGAAGATCTGGCCGTAGGGCCCCGTGCGGACGGAGTCCATGGTGCCCGGCTCCAGGTCCATGAGCACGGCGCGCGGCACGAACCGGCCGCACGACGCCTCGTTGTAGTAGACGTTCACGCGCTCCAGCTGCAGGTCCGACGTGCCGGCGTACCTCCCCGTCGGGTCGATGCCATGCTCGTCGCACACCACCTCCCAGAACTTGGACCCGATCTGGTTCCCGCACTGCCCGCCCTGGATGTGCAAGATCTCCCTCATCTTCTCCTCCCCTTTTTTACCTGCAGAGAAATCGCCACGAAACGCGAAACGTCAGGGTGGGTGAGACCTTCTGAAATTCCAACGCGGGAATCGGAACACCGAGAGTACTGATTCTACCAAGAACACCGCAAGAATCCGAAAGAGAAAAAAAAACGAACCAAAAATCTTCTGATCGCACCAAGAACACCTCAAATCCTCACTAATCCCCAAACGATCGGAACACCGAGAAGAACAGCTAGTCCTGATTCTACCCAGAACACCGCAAGAATCCCCAAACAAACGAACCAAAAATGTTCCGATCGCACCAAGAACACCTCAAATCCTCAATAATCCACCCAACCCCCCCCCCCCCCAAAAAAAAAAAAAAAGAATCGATCGGACCCAAAAAAAAATTCACCGGAAAGCACGAGGCGCTAGATAATTCGGGGGGAAGCGAATCGAAAGATTTTTTGTTGCGGAATTCACCTCGAATCAGGGCTAGGAAGCGATCGGATCGGGGCTAATTTTGGGAGAGGTTGGGATGGGAGAGTGTGTGTGTTCTTGGAGACCGTCGAAATGGGGGCGGTTTTTTTATAGCGGAGCGTGGGGCTAGGGCTACGGATCGGACGGCGCAGGCAGTTTCCCTCCAACGAGGCGCCAGGGGAGATCCTGGCCGTTGGATGGGTGATCGGACGGTCCCACGCGCCGGCGCCGGGTGGCCCGTTGCTGGTTTTTGGATTTCGAAATTTTTCGGGTGGAGGCGCGGGGGCCAGGTGTGGAATAACGGATATACCCTTGGCCGTGATTGTGAAGCAAGGTATTGGAGGCACACGGCGAATTTTCAAGAGCGGGGGCAGAAATGGATTTTTGTTCGCCGCTTGTAATTCTTTTCGCGAAAGCTCGAGTGGTCCGCAGTTGAAAATCGGGAAAATCACCCAACGGAGCGCGGGTGGGCCTCTCCTACAAGCGTAATGCGTGTTCATACATGCAAAACAGAATTTTGTATCGGGTAGGAGTATTTCATGAAGTATTTGAAATATATTCCAAATCGGATTTAAATTTTAAAGTTTAATTCAATAATATTTTTACTTGTGTTTTTAAAAGCATCTCCAACAAACTAGCTAAATCAGACTCTCCAAACACTCATATAGATAGTTCTTCAATTGATTTGGCAAGCTAAACTTGTTGTTTACTCCAATAACCTCTCCATCTGCACTATGAGCTTTCAGTCTATGACACTAGAACCCATATGTGAGCTTTTATGAATCCACCACCACCACCACCCACCCACTCCAAAGCCCAAGTCCCCACCAAACTCCTCCGCCTCCAACTGTGACCTAGCCCAACGCGATGTGAGGTCGGAACGGAGGAGGGGTAGTGTGCGACGCATGGTGATCGGCGTAGGTAGTGGTGGAGCTGCGAATGAGGGAGGTTGCGGCGGACGCGTAGCTGGCCGAGACGCTGACAAAGCTAGAGCAACATGGGCGTGACTAGCCATCGAGTGGCAACGCTGCCTCGAGGAGACGTACAACAAGCAGCGTGGGGCTGAAGCGGGTGACAGCATGAGAGCACGGCGACAGCATGAGAAGGAGGAGCAGGAGCATCCCACCGCCACCGCATAAGCATCTTCCTTGCCTTCATACCGCCGCGCTCTCCTTTCCTCATAATCAAGCCCCACCACCGCCGCGCCCTCCCTCCTACGTTGTTGTCGGACCTCCCTTTCCACCCGCACCCAAATCCACGTTGTTGACCATCTTGAGCTCCCGCACAGTTGAGATGATACGAGGGCAGAGGCGGTGGAGGCCATGGGTGTGGGTGTGGGAGGCGTCGGCCAACGTGGGCGACGTTGGTGGGTTTCGTCGGGATCTGGACATCGGGCCACGATGGGTGAATGGCCGTTGTCGGAATCTAGACGCCAGCGAAGCTCGAAGAGGAGGAAGAGACGGGCCAGCGTCGGGCGCACCACTCACCACTCGAGCCGTCGAGCGATGCAAGGACATGAGAGAGATGGTGGGACTCATGTTTGGCCAGTGGAGGAGGCTGGTTACATTTGGCCATCCAAGTGACTGGTTTTGCCATTCATATGGCTTGGAGAGCCGAATGGAACTTTTTTTTTCCTGCGATGGCTAAATTTTGGGTTGGAGAGTCAAGTAGAAAAATCTGTTGGAGATGTTGTAACGAGTAATAAAAAGGGAGATCTCATCAACAGTCGTAGACATGCTATGGGGACGATCCGTGCATGAGCCCAGTACCCGCGTTGCAACTATGGTACTCTCATCCAGCCCCACTATGATTTTTTTGTCTAGTTATATATATGAGACATGTTGATCTAGTTTGTTTAGTCCCTACTATAATTTTTTTCTAGATATGTCACTAAAGGTACGAAGAAAGCACCCCAAAACTAATTGCAAAATCCAATTCTAAATTATGAAATCAGCTGCAGGTTACAATTCAAATATACATTGTAACCTGGTTACATATAAGGACTTTACCTTTGAGAAATTACAATTCCACTCCAAAGAAAAGCTAAAATTGTGCAATTGCAGGTTGGATCATTTTGGAGATTAAGCTTTAAGCTTCAAAATATCTCTGCATATTTCTTTCTTATTTATCCATCTACCGATGGTCCCTCCAATCTGAGTCCAATCTCAAACACTGTTTTCATGTAATAATCAGCTTCTGCTTAAGGGATGGTCTTCGATCAGATCACATGCAAGCGTTGGCTCGGCGTAGCCATTTCTCCTATTTCCATCATCTCATCGACGCCAAATTCAACTATTCTAGTATGGATAATGTATACCTGCGTGATAATGCGCGCGCACATCCTCCGTATATCTTTACTATCTTAGAAACATAATCGTCCTCCTTCTCTTCTCATTCTAATCCCACGTATAAAAAAACTGCTCCAAGAAACCGAGAGAAAACGGCTAAAGAAACCAGGGAAAAAAAAAGGTTAAAAGACGGAGAAGAAAACCATCCCAAAAGCAGAGAATAAAAAACTGATAAAACTGTTCCAAAAAACCAAGAGAAAAACCGTTCTAGAAAACCGAAAGAAAAATACGGGTTGAGAAAAATTGAACAATGTTCACCGGATCTCATCCCGTTGCAAAGCATGGGCCTATGACTAATTGAAAACCGTTGAGAATTACCAGCAGACAAAATCATGGACATTTCAAGTCACCGAGATAACTTTTCACTAATCATATAATCTGTGTAAAATATAGTAAAAAAGAAAGCAGTTATACAAATCGACTATATATTTTGCTATCTGACAAAAAAAATCACCTCCAAGTGGGAAAAAAATACTTCAAAACCGTGCCTTTAATCAAAGGGCTTTTGTTGCTTTAATCAAGTTTCAGCAGATGTCTCAATTGCTGCATGACACTATGACTGTCAACACGAGTATCACAAAAATATTAAGAATGCAACTCTGAAGGTACATAATATATCCAAATTACTAACAAAAAAAAAGAGATAACTGTCATGCATGCTCCTCAATAATTCAGACATTTGAGCAAATTGTTCTGGCGCTGTCTACCAACGCAGCCGCAACTGAAACCTTCACCCATCCATCCACCAAAGAGACCACGACAGCTAACATATGCATGCACAATAACGAGGTGATACTGCAATTTTCCAGCAACCACTGAAAGGTGGCGAGTTGCATTAGTGACAGTAAGGCAGTATACAATCAGGGCAACCCCTAATTAGCTCGCGGATCATTGTCTAATCTTTGCGTGTTTCTTGGTTTAGGCATCGATCGATCACTGATTCAGCTATCCGGTCTCTGATCCCCCACCTCTCCCTGATCCAGACATGTCAATTTCTTGATTATATATTCTTCTGCATGCATGTTGATAACCTGCAATTATAGTTAGGGAATCAGTGTATTGATTATTTGCAATAACAATGAACCCTACGTACCCTGGGAAGCTGTACCTCACATGCGGCTTTGCAAGCTTACAAACACAGTTCACCTGTATATTACAGGATAATGTCGTTGTTAGCATCTGCATCGATTTGCTCCGTTGGCTTCATGTAGTGTGTGTGCCCAACAGTGAGCCGTTTGGAACGAAGGCACCTAAGCTAGCAGATGATTTGTCCAAATTGCTAGGAAATATTCCTGGGTGGATATATCCCTGAAATTTTTCACTTTAAATATCCAAGGTTCCAAACAATTTGTTAACATATTCGATTTCATACCAGAAGGATACTGCTTCTGCTGGAACCCCTGGCATTGTAATATTGTTCCAAGATTCTCTTACCCATGTGTTGACAGAGCATAATTGTTCACCGATAGTTCATCCATTCATTTATTTATTTTGAGATAATTGTTCTTGTACTGTCTGATCTCTGAATGGTAACTGGTAGTACTGTTTTATTCCTTCTGTCTGAGCAGGATGTGAAATACTAGCAACCTGAAGTTCAGAAATCCATTCAGCTCGCGATAACAGATACTACAGACAGCGTACAGAGACACAAGGCATAGGATCCTTTGGTCTACACTGTCGATGAGGACCATGAGTCCATCAGTCCATGTCCCGATCCCTATCACCAATTCATACTACTCCAATCAGCAGTGTACCTGCACCATGTGGCAGGCGCGGCCGGCGCGGGGAAGAAACGTGCATGTTCTCATGTTCGGCTGCTCCTCCAAGCATGGCCATGCCCCACTGCTTGACAGACAGCATGAGCAATCAGCTAGTGGTATCATGTATGTTTTCGACCTGTGGGTCTTGACTCTTCACCAGATCGATGGCCTTATCGACAAACAATTAGTGTAAAGAATAAGAATACGCATGAGTATATGCAAGAACAAAAACATCAAGCATGAACAAAAACATCAAGCATGAGCATATTTGGCAAGGAGAGATGGAGGAGCAGGGCAAGAGAAACACTTAGGTGATGTTCCTTTCTCCTGGAGATTTCTCCTGGAGATGAAGAGAGAGTTTTTTACACAAAACGAGATGGTATTAACGTATGATTGATTGAGTTTTAATTATTATAAACTTAAAAAATAGATTAATATGATATTTTAGAGCAACTTTTATATAGAAAGTTTTTACACGAAACACACCGTTTAGCAGTTTGAAAAACATGCCACTAAAATCTTAATCTTCATCCAACTTATGTTGGAGAAAAAAACAGGACCTTAAATGATGCATGGGTGGAATGAAAACCGCCAGAATCGTTAGCATCTATTCGAAAATGATTAATCATATTTATCAATTTAACTATTTAGTGTTAAAAAATAATACGATACTGACAAAAATTAAAAAAATCAAAATTACTATACTTCTAGAAACATAAACAATAGAACGGCACTACTCATGAAAACGACGCTCGGCTGGTCGAAAATTTCATCCGGATTACCGTCGAATTCACACTACGAGCTCAGGTCAGAGATCGTCTGCCCTCTCGATCGCGAGTTCGCAGCACGGAGACTGAGACACAAGTTGTCGTGGTTTGGTGTTTTTTGGTCGCATTTCACCTAATGGGTTGCGTTGCCCTCTCATGGAGGATGCCATTGGCTCATCCATATCGTACCTTATCTAGATTTGAGGTCTTCTCTCTAATACTACTTTTGTTTTTAGGGAAAAAAAAAGAGAGCCCTAAAAAAAAGAGAGAGAAAGCAGCAGCAGCAACAAAAAGTGCCTCGCCGTGCCCAACATCCTCTATCCACACACCGCTTGATTTCAGTCGCAAAAGGCTTCAGTAGAACAACTAGGCCGGGCTCAATGTGTATGGAATATTTGGGCAAGGCTCTCATTAAGGTTTGATTCATTCCTTTCTGTCCATGATCGAAACAATCGGTTTGGCCCATATCGAAGGTCATCTAATATTCTAATGGATGATGAAGACACCAGCCGTAATAAATATTTTTCATGTTCAATCTTACTAGATGGAAAGAGAGTAACAAACAAGGAATAAATTAATCAATCATGCTTCTGTTAACCGCTTCTGTTAACCCTTAGTATGACCTCATTGTTGTCCGTCTGAAAATGAACAGTTCCTATCATTTCAACCACCAGTGCCAAATTCACAGCTTAGTTTAAAGTTGAATTCAACAAGCAAGGACAAAATTCCAGAGAGTATACAAATATTTGTAGAACAATACGGCCCCGTTGCGTGCAAATGTATGTGCAGTTACCAATCAAGTAGAAAACCCAGTTTCAAACAGACAGTAGATATAGATACATAATACAAATGTTCATAACTGAAATCTGAACTTCTAATTCCTAATGGCAAACATGTTCCAGGTAAGTTACTCGTACAATTCGATTGGGTTTCAGTGTTTAACTCAAAATTCATTCAGCAACGCCAATACAATGTTCAACGACCGATGGATTGTGCTACCAAGAAGAAACACACCAGTGACCAAACAATGGCTGGCTGATGGCAAATTGGCAATAGCCCAAAATGCACATTATATAGTAGCAGTATATTCACCTTCTGATCTTCTCCTGCCGCTGTGGCTTCTTCTTCTCCAACTCGCCAAGCCCAAAGCCCTCGAAGGGGATCTCGCCATTGATAGCCCGCAAGACATCGGGGACCTCCCCCTCGTACCGCCTCACGTACGCCTTCATGAACCGTGCGAGGCTGGCCACGAGCACATGGGGCACGCGGTGCTGCCCCTCCGGCTTCCCTTCCCTCCTCAGCACGGCGAGCACCGCGCACCTCCGGGCGTGGGAGTCCAGGCTCCGCGACAGCAGGTTCGGGTACGCGACGATGTCCTCGCGGCGCAGCCCCGCCTTGCCGGTCAAGAAGCCGACGGTCCTCTTCAGCCTCTCCTCCGAGATCCCCGCCGCGTTCGGGAGCCGCCGCAGCATCACGGCGATGTCGTCCTTGCCGAAGCCGAGGCTGCGGTAGATCGCGAACTTGTTCTCCAGCGTGGGGGCCTTCAGCTTGGAGAAGGCGGCGAAGATGTAGACGAACATGGGGCTTCCTGGCTCGACGCCGGCGTCCTTGACGGCCTGGACGATCTCCCCGGCGCGGCCGGGGCCCAGCAGGATGACCCCGGGCTGGCTGGCGACGAGCTTGGACAGCTCGCTGGGCGTAAGGCCGTGGACGTCGCGGAGCACGGGGAGCGTCCGGAGGAAGGTGGCCTTGGGGCTGCAGCGCATGGCGAACGGCATCTGGCGGAGCGCGGTGACGATGCGCGAGTCGGAGCCGAGGACCTCGCGGAGGGAGGCGATGAGCGGGGCAAGGTGGGACTCGATGCTGCGGTGGAGGATGACGGGGCTGAGGGAGACGACCCGGGGGAGGAGCGGCGCCGTGATGCCGACGGAGCGGAGGTAGTCGAGCTTGGGCTGGAGGGTCCGGGCGGGGTCGGACGCGAGGATCCTGGAGAACGCCCGGACGGTGGCGGAGATGTCGGCGTCGGTGAACCCGTAGCGGCGGAGGAGCGCGACGACGGCGTCGGCGTTGCTGGCGAAGTCCGGAGAGGCGAGGGGGAGCCAGGGCGAGGTGGCGGCGGCGCGGGCGGCGGCGGCAGGGGTGAGGCCACAGGAGGATATCAGGTAGGATACGACCTTCGGGTCGGTGGTGGTGGAGGCGGCGGCGGCGGCGGCGGAGAAGAAGCGGAGAGGCAGCGGGAGGAGGAGTAGGCGGCGGCGCCGGACGGCGGCCAACATCGCGGAAGCTCGCGCCTCGCGGCGTGGGGGATTGACAGGGGCAAGACCGTAAAAATGAGGTTTGTTAGGGGTTTTTGGGGGCTTTAGGCATGGGCTTTTCACTTTCGGGCCTTTGGTTGAGTACTCGCGGGCCGTAACACAAGCTCTCTTACACGGCCCAGAGTGCAAACGCAGGGCAGCGTAAGCACTGTCTGTCTTGGCGTTTGCTCCGCGAGTTTGGCTGTACCCGTCAGGCCGTCACGCATTCCATGCATTGAAACCAGTATCGATGCGTCGTCACTCAAGATCGCCACCCTACGTGCCACGTACATGCAGCGGGTGTTACACACTGAAAAAAAGAAGGAATGCGTTGCTAGTGCTAGGGTATCCGGCGCCCGGAATGCGGCCTAGCCGCGATCCATGCTGGGCAGACGAGATCCTGCTGAGGCAACGATAGCAGACAAGCAACAGGATAAGGATACGTCAGACGATCAACCGTAAAGGCCGCATTCCGATCGTGGAGCACGTATACTAGTACGGAGTACGATGCATGGTACTTCGTACGAGAGTACGCGCGAGCTCTTGCACGATTTTTTTTTTTTAGAACTGCTTGCACGATCGCCGTGGACGGTGGTATAACTGGGGAACCTAATAGCTCTGAGCCTCTGATGAAAAGCGCGTCGCACACTGCACATATTGACGCTGGTGCGCTGCATAAGTGCATATGCCGTGTCGCGTGTAAGACTGGGTTGCTTATTTGCATCATGGGCGTCTGCAGGTTGTTGCATACTATAGGTCCGCGTTCTTTTCTCCAACTGGAAGATTAAGATTTTTAAGGCATATTTTTCAAACTGTTAAACGGTGTGTTTCGTGTGAAAATTTTCTATATAAGAGTTGCTCTAAAATATCATATTAATTTATTTTTTAAGTTTATAATAATTAAAACTTAATCAATGATATATTAATACCGCCTTGTTTTACGTAAAAAACCTTAATCTTCATCTTTATTTTCAGAAGAAAAGAACACCACCTATCCCTGATCACCCCTCTTTCGCCTGTTTCCCGGAGAAAAGCTGGCCAGCCGGCCATGACACCCATGACATGAGCTACGTATTTGCATGCTGCAAAGTGGCCTCTGCGAGCTATAGTAGCGCGTATCCCTGGCAACCTGCTCGGCTGCGCCGGCCGGCCGTCCGGCCACTGCCGATCTGTGACGCCTGTAACAACCACATGCGGATGCTGCGTTTTTGCATCACAGCTGGTCGAGCACTCTCCATGCCTGATATATGATCTACAGCATTGTAGATCCATCGAGATAGTAGTATTTCTTGTGTGTTGTCCCAACAGCTGGGGATACCATGCGTACGTTACGTACCCTTCGATCGAGTCGAGTCATGTCGCCAAGGTCGCCGGCTGCGTTCGTTGGGTGGAGAAAGAGAGAGAGAGGGAGAGTTTGTTTGGTTTTCCGCGTGCACGTTTCTCAAACTACTAAACGGTGCGTTTTTTATAAAAAAAAATTATATAGTAAAGTTGATTTAAAAAATCATATTAATTCATTTTTAAAATTTAAAATAATTAATACTCAATTAATCATGTGCTAATGGCTCACCTCATTTTACGTATCTTTCTAATCTTCTCAGTCTCTTCTTCTCGGACTCACCCTGAATCTTCCTTGGATGCGTTACTTGCCCGGGTGACAAAGCACTGCAGTTGACAACGACGTCTCACACAGTTACTGAGAGACCGATCGAGCAAACGATGCAAAACGGACAGACGGGTACATTATACAACTCGCCGCGTCGTTACACGGCAAACTGTGATTGTGCGTGGAACGTTGGTGCGGGAAATAGTACGGGGCAGGGTCATATGCATCGCACGCGAGAAAAGCGCCGATGCAATGCAACAGCCGGCCACAGCAGCAGCAGCCAGCGGCCGGCCGGTGATGGAAACAATTCGAAGAGTAACCGGGCTTTCTGCCGTGCCGTCAACCCGCGCGCGCTGTTCCTTTTCCCCATCCGACGGTCGCCTCCCCTCGTCGCCATCTACCACCATGCAGAGAGGTCAGGTCCAATTGCCTGCTTCCGCGTACGGTTACTCGGCTACTCGCTGTGCATGCACAGTGGAGAAGTCTCACTAGACGCACAATGTGGCCGGTTTCTTCTTCTCATGTAAGGCCTGTTTTAGTTCCCACACAAAAACTTTTCATCCTGTTATATCACTTTTCATCCTGTTATATCAAATATTTAGACACATGAATGGAGTATTAAATACAGATAAAAAAACTAATTATATAGATTACTTATAAATTGCGAGACGAATTTTTTAAGTCTAATTACGTCATGATTTGATAATGTGATGTTACAATAAACATTTACTAATAATAGATTAATTAGGTTTAATAAATTTATCTCGCAGTTTACGGGTGAAATATGTAATTTGCTTTGTTATTAGACTACGTTTAATACTATATATTCGAGGTAATAAGCTAAAACTTTTCAGCCGGCCAAGCACGTGAAGGGCGAAATACCAGGCAGAGTTTAAATGCTTCTTGCCGGGCAGGTAGCTAGTGTTCGGTCAAACACACTGTATGATTCCCTTCTGGTTAATTTGGTCGTGATGAACACGACCTGTTAGGCCGTTTTTTATGTACTATACTCCCGTTTGTTTGACCGACCTTTCACGCAGAAGCTCCTAGGGCGATTTGTAATTAATCAAGCAGCCCGGCGGGGCGGATTGTTCGGCAAGCCAAAGCTCATGTATTGGGGAACAAGCTATAGTCGCGGTCAGAGTCCACCCCCTCCTCGAAGGCTGCGTCTGTTCTCGCGTTTTTCACCGGTACTGGCGTATACTGTTCTGCTTGGTAATGCGGACGCAAAACAAATCCACCAGAGCTGCGGGGCCAAAGCACTCACCAGCAAGGCAGCAACCAAACTCGACGACTTTCCTGATGGGTTTCACCGCGTTTCCTATCCCAGTTTCAGCAACCGGCCAGTGAGAACCTCTCTTGATTATTCCAACCCAAGGCAGGAGTAATTAACAAGGGGGGATGCTATTACTGAAAAGTAAAAAGTGAGCAGGTTTCACATTTCCCTATGGAGTCGAAAGTCCACGGCGAGCCGGTGCGTGCGTGCCTTGCCCAGGAAGCCTGCCCGGCCGGCCCAAATCCTAGGGTTCCCATGGCCCAACACGACACTCCAAAGTAAACCCCACATTAACCTCGGCCCCACACCTCTCCACACCACGCCGCGGGCCCGCGGCCTTCTATATAAGCCACCCCCGATACACGCCGAGACGCCGAACACCACCACACACGCCAAAGAACACACACGAGTAGACAACCACTAGTCCAGTCTCCAGTGTCACTCGACCAGAGCACTCAGCTGGGTAGTATTTGAAGGTAATTTTACTTCCTCTCGTGGCTATGGAGAAGCAGGAGAACGGAGGGGAGGCGCCGGAGCTGAAGCTGTTCGGGTCGTGGGCGAGCTCGTACACGCACCGGGTGCAGCTGGCGCTGCGGCTCAAGGCGCTGGAGTTCGTGTACGCCGAGGAGGACCTCGGCAACAAGAGCGAGGCGCTGCTGCGCCTCAACCCGGTGCACAAGAAGGTCCCCGTGCTCGTCCACCGCGGCCGCCCGCTCGCCGAGTCCGTCATCATCCTCCAGTACCTCGACGACGCCTGGCCGGAGAGCCGCCCCCTCCTCCCCTCCGACCCCTTCGACCGCGCCCTCGCTCGCTTCTGGTGCCACTTCGCCGACGATAAGGTGCGTACTCTCTAGTAACACAACACATGGCCTTCATGTCTTAACTTTTTTGTGTGTGCAATGCGTGCAGCTTGGGCCGGCGGTGGGGGCGGTGTTCGCGTTGACGGGGAGGGAGCAGGAGGCGGCGGTGCAGCAGGTGCACGACAACCTGGCGCTGCTGGAGGCGGAGCTCCGGGAGGGGGCGTTCAAGGGGCGGAGGTTCTTCGGCGGCGACCAGGTGGGCCTCCTCGACGTCGTGCTCGGGTGCGGCTCCTACTGGCTGGCCGTGTTCGAGGAGGTCACCGGCGTGCGCCTCGTGGACGCCGACGCGTTCCCGCTCTTCCACGCGTGGCTCCGCGACTTCGAGGCCCAGGAGGAGGTCAAGGAGACCATCCCCTCCGTCGACCGCCTGCTCGAGTACGCCCGCGGCCTCCGCCAGATGCTGCTCGCCCTCGCCGCCGGCGCCGGCGCCGGCGCCGCCGCAGCAGCTGGCAGCTCCCCCGTCACCACCGCCGTCGACGCGCCGGCGCCGGCAGCTCCACCAGCGGCCCCGCAGGCCGCGGCCGTGGATATATAATCCAATCGCTGGGCCCGCGCGCCGTGCGTGCGCTACGTCGTCGTCGTAGCTCTGTGTAGTTTAGCATCTGTGCGTGTGTCGTCGTGGAGTGCATGTGATGACTAGTGATGCGGCCTAAAATGCGCTGCTGTGCCGCTGTTGCTAGTGGCGCAGTCTGGGATAGGTGTCGAGCTAATCTCTCTTTTCTCCTGTGTGTTCTCTGTCTGTTGTTCGTTGTGCTTGTGCAAGGAATCTAGCTTGTGTCATCGTGTGTTTTTCCCTCTACTATCTCGGTTGTAAGTCAGACCACGACGTCAGGCACATGTGCGACGTACTGGTAGTGCGTAGTTAATTTGTTTCGGTAATTCAACGGCCTCATGCATGTCTCGATGTAAATTTACCAGATTTTTACTTTGTGATGAGATCGTGGTGTTTATGCTATCGACATAGAATATGGCAGGCATCGGGGGCGAGTGGATTGGAGAAGCAAGGAGTACTACCAGTACTACGGTTAATTGATTAATTGTTTCCTGGAGTTAAATGCGGAGGTTAAATATGGTGATCAGTAAAGCCTGGTCCGGAGATGCCGCTATCTTACTCCAGAGAGCAGCAAGATCAGCATTCAAGGCTACAGAGAGCAGGCTGATCATGTATCAATGCGTGGTTGCTTGTATTTAATCAGTATCTGAAATTTTTTTTCCTCATCAGTGCGTGCGTTTGTCCTGGAGCCTGCTGCCCCTGCAGTAGCTCCATTAATTGCATTGCCTGCCTTGCGGGCGCAAATGCATCAGTAAGCTGACGATCCGTTTCCATGCTACGCATCGAGCAGTACAGATAACAAAACAAAAAGCACCGGGGAGCTCGAACTGTACACCTACCAAATCGAATTAACTTCTCTCCCCAAAACGGACACTAGAGCAAATCAATGCTAACCAGCCAAGAAACTGAGCAGCCACCGGCACGCATCACCGCGCTCTGCAGATCCGCCATACCCATTGCTGACGGCGAGCAGCAGCTGAGCGATCGAGGAGAATCCCAAGCGAAGCGGTGGCAACATCTACGCACGCGCTCGTTCTGAGGATCTCTGACTAGTTTAAAAGCTCGGCAGGACATGGGCCTCAGATCGCCCGTGTGCGTGGCGCGGGAAGCGCGTAGGTGTCCACTCCCGCGCGAGGAGCGAATTGGCGCGCCCCGCGGCCGCACGCGGGCGCGGGTCGCGGCAACATCATCCGTAAAGCGCTGGCGTACGTGGGCGCGCGCGGGAGCACACGTGAGCTGCCGACGGCGGCGGGTGCGCGCGGGCGCGGCGACGTCCGACACGGGACACACGCGCGCGACGCGGGCAGCGCGGTTTTACTATCGGTCGCGCGCCAGTGCAGCTCTCGTACCGTACGTGCGTGCGCGTAATGGAGATGGCAGTCAGCTCAGCTCGCGGCCTCACGCGATTCTTGCTTGCCGCGCCAGGGGCCGGGGCATCGACTGGTTTCTACTGACGTGGTGTCATGGGCGCGCCTCAGCTCGCACACGCTCCAATTTAATTGTACGTACCCGAGTTCTATGGATTGTGCGTGATGATTGATCAGCCACTGTCAGGAGGGGATCGGGATCGAGTCTGTCTTTTGCCGTTTTGCGGATCCAGTTGAGATTTCAAATATTGTGGCCCGGGTGGTATGACCACTGATATCCGTTCTACAAATATGTATCCACCAGAAAATATAAAATCAGACCTATCCAGAACTTCATAAGGTGATAAAAAAAACAGATCCACATAAGCTTATAAATTGATGCAATAACAGCACCATTGCGGGGAAAATTTCTAACTATTTGACAATTACACCACCATTCTTAAAATGTCATCTTTTCCAACGACATACTCCATCCTTCCAATAATAAGTTTATTTTTAGTGCATCCTGTTTATTCCAAAATAAATTTATTTCTAGAGTATATCATTGCATCGGAGTTTGTAAAGTAGAGAATGGTTGTATTGAGAGTAGATAAAGTGGGGAATAGTTGATAAAGTAGGGATATTCTATTCTTTTGTCTTTGCATTAGTATGTGTAGGATTAGTGAAAAAATGACTTATTTTGGGACGGATGCATGGAGCAGAGCAGATTATTTGCCACTAAGATCCATTGGATTGTTTCAGTTTAGCCACTTTTGCTTATATGGCATGATAAACGTGCAATTCAGAGCCACAACCGAGAGAAAATTACTCTCTCCGTTTCACAATGTAAGTCATTCTAGCATTTTATATATTTATATTGATGTTAATGATTCTAGACATATATTTCATTCTAGATTCATTAATATTAATATGAATGTAGTAAATGCTAGAATAACTTACATTGTGAAACGGATGAAGTAACTCTTTTGCCCTCCTTTCCTCTAGCTCATGGCATCTTCTCCCTTAGCTGGCTCATGGCACGACGAGACGAATCATCAACGACGAGCAGGTGGTGATGACACCAACTTAACCTCCCTCTCTGACGATGAGCCACCAACAATGAGCACCATATGACAAGCTAGCGGTGCCACCTCTTGCTACTGAAGCTGGACATGCCATGCCAGGCCACAGGCCAGGGGAGCTTGGGGCGTGAAATCCCATGGCACCAGCTACGGCTCAAGGACAAGCTCAACATCATTTGTGGGCTCACAGCATGTCCCTTGTCGAGGTCATCTTGACCATCTAACGTTGGCGCTGCAAGAATGCTCTGGCTACCATCGTCGTAGGCATCTTCTCCGACGTTGCAACATCTACTTCCTCAATGAGGTCGGCTCCCACTCAAGGTGCTCGATGGCATTGACAACACAACACGGTCATGGCGCACGGACGCGGCGGCGCGGGAAAGGGGAGGGAAGGGAAAGGTTGGGGGTAAGGTCTCGACTGCACTTGTCCCAGCTTGGGAGGAGAGGTTAGGCAAGGCATTTTCTCACCTAGATTGTTGAGATAGTAAATAAAATCAATTCAATAGAACCGGATGGTAAATCATAATCAAAAGTTCTAGGAAGAAAGAGCGATACTCTGGTGTTTTCTATTAGTAGTATTATACTACCAGTAATATTAGAGATAAATTAGTAATTTACTACAATATCATGATTATGAGTAACTATTATTTATGTTTTTTCGGCTATATCGATCCATGATCATCTATTGTGCTAGTATCGCTCATATATCATATATTCTATTGAAAAAAACAAAAAAAAAAGAAGAAAAAAAAGTTAGGAGCTACTAGTAGTAAAAAAAAAAATCCCCGCAGTGGAAACTGCGATGTATATATGTCACATCTTAGCTTATATCCGATCTAAGACACGGCATTATTTTGTGCTTGCAATTCATGAGTTAGCAAAAGCATATAACAAAGCAGGCAGGACGCAGTGGCCGGTGATGGAGCGAGCAGTCCATCGGTGCGTGTGGCTCGCGCCAAGCCGCCCGCCCATTCGCAGGCTCGATAGATTACGTGGTTGACTCCCTCAACCGACGACGCTGCCAACACCACATGCGAGGCTAGGATAAAAACGCGACCTTTTTCGGTGAACAGGAGGACATGGGCGCCGCGCGCGCGCACGCGGGCCAGGAATATCGTCGACTTCGGCCTCGCCCATGCACGGGTGCTCTGCTCACGCTGTCACGCACGGGCGCGAGGGCGCGACGTGACGCAAGTGTACACACGATAGAATTTTCGAAGCATATGCTTCTATCGCTGTTTTTTTTTGTTTGGGGAAAAAAATAGGATGAGTGAGTTTCTAGAGTTTCAAGAGGAGGCGATTTCGGTGGGAGAGACCTCGTCAGTGCTTCCCCACCGGCGATCGCCGGAGAGAGGCTTGCCTAGAGGATATACCCACGCGGATGTCCTCACGGCAGCGGCCCGTGGCCCAGCGAGTTTTGGCGCGAAGCGTGAGAGTGCATTTGCGTGCGAATTTCGGCCCGAGAGACTTGGCAATGGCAGCGGGAGCTTGATGGCCACATTGCAGCCCAAATTCTCGAGGGGCCCGGCGGATTCCACGAGGGAGAATCGTGACAAAAAAAGTGGGTGAGTTTAATCTGGAGGATATTTTCCCCAAATTTTGCCCCACTGTGTCGCGAGAGTGGATCTGGATCAAGCGAGGTGAGAGTCCTCTTCTAGGGTTCCCGGCGAGAGACGACGAGATCCGGCGTTTTGGCGGCGGAGCTCGTCGGATTTGGCGGGTGCCTGAGAAGATGTGCGATCACCACACTTTCGCCCAGGTCGTGATGGAGCGGTGCCCTCCCAATCGCCTGGACTGGCAAGCCAACAAGCGTCGCGCGACTGAGCAAGGCGGCGGTGACTGGGGGGCGCGAGGTGGTGGTGACTGGGGAGCATGTGGAGCAAGGGAGGAGGAGGAGCTGCGTCAGCAACTCCTCACCCAAAACCCTAGGGCGAATCAAGGCGCTCAATGTAAACCTTAAGGGCGTCCTGGGGTTGATGGGGAGCGAGGTGCATGTGCGCCTAAAATCAAGTGCTTCAAGTGCGGTCGCGAGGGCCATCATATGGCGGCCTGCCCAAATCCATCCCATTTTCGGCTGGCGGCCTGCTCTTCTGTTGCTTAGTTCAGACTTGTGAATTTTGGCCCAATTGGTCGTGTCATTTCCGCGTTCTTGGCCCATTCATTGATAAGTCTGATTCTCGACATCGTCTGATTGATTGATCGCCTGTTTTGATGTCGATGCTCCTCCATTTTATGTTTATTCTCTGCAAGAGGTTAGTAATCCTAGTGCTAGTAGAATATTTATTATTCTAACACAAATATGTAATGCAAACATAACTAGTTCTCCTTTATTTTGGTAACATTGACGGTCGAAACTGATCGCTAACGACCGTCAACAGACACCTTGAATTGGAACTCTATAAAAAGCCGTATTTGGCTTTCTATAAAAAGCCGGGCCCTTTGGCCTTTTGTCTAAAATGTGCTTCTACGCTGGAATCAAACCCGAATTCCCACTCACCGTACCGAACTGCGCGCGGCAGCTAGCAAAAATTTCTTGTCGGGAAAAAGTTCGAATTACCTCCCTAACTATCACGGTGATCAAATTACTCTCCTAAACTCGAAAACCAGATCCTCAACTATTCAAATTGGATAAATAACCCCTCAAGCAATGTTTTGAGCGGTTTTGGACTAAGCTAGCTGAAATGACATTCTAATATGACAAACAAATATTTAAATATAATGGACCCACGTGTCAATGCTTCATATCACCTCTTCTATTCTAGCTCCTTTCCCTCCGTCTTTTTCTACCCTGAGCAGGGAGGAGGAAGCGGGGCGGCCAGTGGCACTCCAAGGCGACGGGCCGAAGGAGCTCGAGTTTGTTGGCGAGGAGCTCCCTCTCCCTCTATTTATCTCTCTCCTTTCGGTGGAGGGAAGCTCAGGGCCGATCTTT